TGAGATACCTCTAATACCTGGCACCAAGAAGTCTGTTTCTGAAAAGACAAAGTGGGCAAAGTTAATTTTACCTAAAGTGTGCATTTCTCAAAAGCATAACTTCTACTTTCTCATCATTGTGTCAGGGTTTAAGAACAATATAAAAAATGACTTCCCACTCTCGATCTGTCCTTTCAGTGACCACTGATCTAGTCTCATACCTTAATTTTACTTGATTTAAAAATTACATATGTATATATTTACCTTTTTTGGGGGGGGAGTTGGGAAGTCCACTCTCTAACCCAGGCTGGAGGGCAGTGGCACAATCATGGCTCACCACAGCCTCGACCCTCTGGGCTCAGGTGATCCTTCTGCCTCAGCCTCTTGAGTAGCTGAGACTACAGGCCTGCACTACCACACTTGGCTAACTTTTTATTTTTGTAGCAATGAGGTTTCACTATGTTGCCTAGGCTGATCTCAAACTCCTGGGCTCAAGCAATCCTCTGGTCTCAGCCTTCCAAAGTGCTAGGATTACAGACATGAGCCACCATACCCAGCCTGTATTTACTCTTTTTAATATAGAAAATCAGAAAAACTTGCTTCATATGAAAACATAAAAAACCTAAAAAAAGAAAGAAAGAGAGAAAGAAAAACCCCCTAAATTCAATTTTCCCCTCAACCCAGGTAGCATAAAAAAAATTATGCATGGTGCCTTATTCTGTCACCCAGGCTAGTGTGAAGTGGCATGGTCACAGCTCACCGCAGCCTCGACCTTTTTGTGCTCAGGCAATCTTTCCATATCAGCCTCCCAAGCAACTGAGACTACAGGCATGGTGATTCAGGCCTGTAATCCTAGCACTTTGGGAAGCCAAGAAGATTACCTGAGCCCAGGAGTTCAAGGCTAGCCTGGGCAACACGGCAAGACCTTGTCTCTACAAAAATAAAAAAATTAACTGGGCATGGTGATGCATGGCTGTAACCCTAACTACTTGGGAGGCTGAGGTGAAAGGATTGCCTGAGCCCAGAAGGTCGAGACTACGGTGTGCTGTGATCATGCCACTGCACTCCAGCCTGAGCAACAGAGTGAGACCTGACTTAAAAAAAAAAATTAGAAATCATATATGATCATGTTGAGAAAATTCAAATAGTATTAAAACAGTCTAACTCCCCAGAAAGTAATCACTATTAACACTTTCTTGGAATTACACTCAGAAAATAATGTTTGTGTCTTAATCCTTGCCTATCTCTTCTTAACTCTACAAAATCGGAACCAAAGGAAAGGTCCTATACACACTATCCTGCACCTGCTGCTTTTTTTTTTTCCCCCCCTTAAAGTATTCTGGAGTTCACCCGAGATCCGATTCTTTTAAATAACTGTTTAAAAAACTAATATTTAAATTCAAATACTTATCATTTCTTCCCCTTGTCTAACTGAAACATGGTATCCTCATTCCTCTGGTCACCACCGTTCCACTTTCTGCTTCAGTGTGTTCCATTTATCAGTGAGAACATGGGGTTTTTGTCTTTCTGTGCCTGGCTTGTTTCATTTAGCATAATATCCTCCAGGGTCATCCATGCTGTTGCAAATGGCACCAATTTCCCTCTTCTCTAAGGCTGGAGAGTATTCCATTTGTATCACATTTTCTCTATCTGTTCATGGTTGGTAGACAGTTAGGTTGATTCCATAACTTGGCTGTTGTGAATAATGCTAAAATAAACTGATTTCAAATCCTTTGGTTATATGCCCAGAAGTGGGATTACTGGGATCATATGGTAACTCTTTCTTAGTTTTTTGAGGAACCTCCTTGCAGTTTTCCATAATAGCTATGTTAATTAAATACATTAATATTTGTAATGCACTTGGAACAATGTTTGAATACATGAAAATTGTCTCATTCTATTCCATTATTTGGATATACCCTACTTAATTCTACTGTTTGTGGACATTTGTTGTGTTTGTTGCTATAACAAAAAGTGCACGAACTAACATCCTTGTCTGTGTGTCTTAGGGACTCTCCTTTGGATGAGCTGTCCTTTGGTGATCAATACCTTGTGTGGGGAGGCAACAGTGAGCACGGAGCCAAAAACATTAGAAAGGAAGAACGGGTGATTAGGTAAGAGTAAGAAATAGGAAGGGAATTAGGAGTTTTGCCCAGGACCTAGACTCACAGACCTTAGATTGATTGATTGATTGATTGATTGATTGGTTATGTTTTTGAGTTGGAGTCTTACTCTGTTTTCCAGGCTGGAATGCAGTGGCACACTCATGGCCACTGCAGCCTCGACCTGCTGGGCTCAGGCGATCCTTCTGCCTCAGCCTTCCAAGTAGCCTGAACTGCAGGCACGTGCCACTATGCCTGGCTAATTTTTATTTTTATTTTTATTTTTATTGTAGAGATGAGGTCTGGCCGAGTTGCCCAGGCTGGTCTCAAACCACTGTGCTCAAGCAATCGTCTCACCTCGGCCTCCCAAAGTGCTTGGGATTATAGGCATCAGCCATCGCACCTGGTCTAGACCTTAGATTTAAAAGGAACTATAAGAGAGTGCTTGTTCCAGCCTTGTGTGCTCTGGGCAGAGGATATGTTAGATCCTAGTCCCCAAGAGGTGCCCTGGGAGCGAATCCACAGGAAGGGGGTGCTGAAAACCTTCAACGTTTTTGACAGAAATAGAGACCTTTGACATCTCTTACGCGTTGTACAAACTACCAACTCAGGATTGTGTACAGTGAAACATGCATCCTACTACATTCCTTTTATTGATGTTCTACTTTTTTTTTTTTTTTTTTTGAGTTGGAGTCTCACTCTGTCGCCCAGACTGGAGTGCAGTGGCCGCTCCCGGCCACCGCAGCCTCGACCTGCTGGGCTCCAGCGATCCTTCTGCCTCAGCCTTCCGAGTAGCCAGAATTACAGGCAGGCGCTACCATGCCCGGCTGATTTTTTGATTTATTGTAGAGATGAGGTCTTGCTGCCCAGGTGGGTCTCGAACCCGTGGACTCAGGCAATCCACTCACCTCAGCCTCCCAAAGGCGTGGGATTACAGGCTGAGCCACCGAGCCCGGCTGATGTTCTATTTTATTAAGTTACTTTTTTGGTGGTTGCTGTGCTATGGCCAATACTGGGTAAAGATTAATTTGGAATAGGAAATGAAAATGGTACCATCCAATATTATTCCAAAGTTTCACAGCGCTCAGGGGGCGCATACTTCCCGTTAGTAAGTAAATGGTTAAGAATGAAATAAAAACACCTTTTTCTTTCAATTTCATGTATTATTTTTTCAAATGACTACTAAGTTGTTAGGATATAAATACTTAGGAAGTCGCTTGAACCTAACTACTTAATAAATGAAACCACTAGGTGTTTTTTTTTGGCCTAGGGTATTGTGAAAAAATTACTAAGACACTAAGGAAGCCACGAATCAGAAAATGACTGGAAACAACTGATACACATCTGTATTCATTGGAACTCTTGGCTCAAGTGAGAGACACCAAGTGAACACTGGCTTGAGCAAAAACAGGAAATTATTGACTCCTCTATTTAGGATGTCCAGGGTTGCAGATGGCATCAGTGTTGGTTGTGTTCAGGTGCTCACATGAGGTCATCAAGGCTCTCTTTATCTGTCTTTCCATCTCCAGGGCAGGCTCTCCACACATGCAGGGGATAGCCCCAGAACCATTCCTTCCAGACTCACATCCTTTCCACTTAGCAATTCCAGCAGAAAGCATCATCTTTCCCAAGAACTTGTGTGTAAAATCCCTGGAGAGGGCTTTGGTTGGCTTAGCCTGGATCACTTTCCTATCCCTGAACTGTGGCTATAGAGGTTTATATGGTCATTCCCAGATCACATGTCTGACCCTGTGCTTAGATGTGTTACACAGAATAGATAGGCTTTTCCAAGAAAAGAGGGAGTTTTGCTCCCCTGAGAATGAGAGAATAGAACCCAAACCAATGCATTTCTCATTTTATAGGTGAGGGAACGGGCTGGTAAGATGGTCATTTAATAATCAAGCATGTGAGCCGGGCTCGGTGGCTCATCATGTAGTCCCGCACTTTGGGAGGCCGAGGTGAGTGGATCGCCTGAGTCCGCGGGTTTGAGACCCGCCTGGGCAACTTGGCAAGACCTCATCTCTACAATAAATCAAAAAATTAGCTGGGTGTGGTAGCGTGCGCCTGTAGTTCCAGCTACTTGGAAGGCTGAGTGGAAGGATCGCTGGAGCCCAGCAGGTCGAGGTTGCGGGGGCTGGTAGTGTGCCACTGTACTCCAGTCTGGGTGACAGAGTGAGACTTCAACTCAAAAAATAAAAAATAAAATAATCAAGCATGTGGCTCAGCCTGTCATCCCAGCGCTTTGGGAGGCTGAGGCGAGTGGATTGCCAGAGCCTGCAAGTTCGAGACCAGCCCAGGCAACTTGGCGAGACCTTGTTTCTATAATAAATAAAAAAGTTAGCCAGGCGTGGTGGTGCATGCCTGTAGTTCCAGTTACTTGGAAGTTTGAGATGGAAGGATCGCTGGAGCCCAGCTAGTCGACACTGGGGTGGCCGTCAGCATGCCACTGCACTCCAGCCTGGGTGACAGAGTGAGACTCTGACTCAAAAAATAAAAAATAAAATAACTAAGCCCAGAGGCTCTGGAGTCCCACCCATCTGGGTTCACGTCCTTGGTCAAATTAATGACATCTATATCTTTTAAGATTTCAGGGTCCTCATCTGTAAAATGGGCATAACTGAAGATAAAGGCCAAGGAATAAAAAGCAGACCGTCACTATGGTTTTTATCTCGTAGGCTGCATGGTTCAAGTGAGAACTGAATGAATTGATAGACATACGTGCCTAAGCCAGGCCTGGAACAGAAAGCCCTCAGGAAATGGAGCCATTGTAATTCCTGGTCATAGAGCCCTAAGGATCACATAATATCTGGTGAGTGACCCAAGCTTCTGATTCCTGGAGGGTTCTTTCTAACTTGGGAGGCAGGAGAGAGGACACACAACGGTGATTTTCCTCCCCTGTGTGTTGCAGAGTGAAGCAGCATGGATGCAGTCAGCCAAGTCCCCGTGGAAGCCGCGCTTCCCAAGCACATCCTGGACATCTGGGTCATCGTCCTTATCATCCTGGCCACCATTGTCATCATGACCTCCTTGTTGCTGTGCCCAGCCACGGCAGTCATCCTCTATCGCATGCGGACTCATCCGGTCCTCAACGGGGCTGTCTGAGAAGCCCCCTAGGGGGTGAGAGGAGTGAGGATGGAGCTCCCCACCTCTGGGCTCCTCCCTGTTCTCCGAAATGCAGCAGGAAGGACTTCTGAGCGTGGACCTGAGTTCTGGCTTCGATTCTGCCACTGGCCAGCTGTGTGAATTTGGTCGAGGGGCCTAACTCCGAGCTCTGAGTTCCTTCGCTTTCACATGGGGATCGTGACCCCGGCCCTTCCTACCTCATAGGGTTGTGAGAACCACATGTCTTTTTTTTTTTGAGTTGGAGTCTCACTCTGTCACCCAGACTGGAGTGCAGTGGCCGCTCCCGGCCACCGCAGCCTCGACCTGCTGGGCTCCGGTGATCCTTCCACCTCAGCCATGTCTTAATGCAAGTGATGTAACTGTTTTTGAGCAGCGAAACCACCACAGACATGCAGGTGTTATGCGGAGTGCTGAGAAGCTTCGAGGAACCAAAGACCCTCATTCCTGATGATGGCCTTAGAGGTGGTGAGGGAGACACTGGGGCAGAGCAGCCTTTGCCAGTGCCCCTCAGGTCAAGGAAAGCACAGGGCATCCTGTCCCCATTCTGTGGAGTCGGCTATGCATTGGCTCAGTTATTTTCTTTAAGGTGTCACTTCCTCATGTTTTCTCAGTTGGGTGAGAACTGATCATGGCAGAAGGAAGGAGATGGGTAGAACTTTCCAGAATCTTCTCTATGCCAGAATCTCTGCCTCTATGTAATCTGGTGGAGGGCTCTGCTATCTCTTGACAATGCCAAGGGAGCTGGGGTGATGGTCTTCTTTTTACAACATGGTGTCTCATGTCTTAGCTTTGATATTCAAGTGGTGTTGGAAACTGCTGTGTAGCTGACTTCCCTGCCTACCTTTTGAGATCTCCAGTGCCGTTGTCCCCTTGTGTGAAACCAGAGGAGCTGTGTCCCTCTGCCCAGCTCCTGCTGTAATTAGCTCTGCACATACTCCCTTCACTCCCATCAACACTGCAGCCAATCTAAGGTACTTATATTTCAAGAGATGCTCCCAGGACTTTGGGAACCAACTCAAAACAATGCTGGTTATTTTAGATGCTATGAGTTATATTTATATAGAGATATTTCTGGACCACTCAAACTCTTTGAGCTCAAAATCAGGAGCATCTTGGGATTTATTAAGTTATGTAAGAAGATAGCACAGATATCATGTTATTATTAACTGTGTGAAATGATGCTTTTACTTTGATCTGATTTCATTGATGTACACAGCCAATTTCCAATAAAGTGCTTGAATGTGGATGTCTGTGGTCTTTAAAGAGCGCCTATTAAACTCAGAACTCGGGTAGAAGGATTCCACTGAATGTATGGGCCTTGGAGACAGTTTGAAGCAGGAACAGAAAGGAAAAGAAAAGAATCAAATTGGCTGCCAGAATTCCAGCTTCAGCACATGGGTGGAGTTGGGCAGCTTACACAGCAGATCATGCAGGGGGAAGGACAGATTTTGCATTTAGATAATGAATTTAGAACTGACCACGCTGAGTTTGAGGTGCTGGTGATACTCAGATGGACACTTTCAGGATGCAGTTGGGAATCTGCATCTGTGCTGGGTAAAGACTTCCTGGCTGGCATTGTGGTTTGGGGATGATCACTGATGGCAGACATGCTGCATAAGTTGGTCAAGGGACCTAACTCTGAGTTCCAAGTTCCTTGTCTGGCCAAGGCTGGTCTCTGCAGGAGATGCACATATACCCAGAAGTAAGTCATGGGATGCAGGCGATCTGTCAAAGGATGCAGGTAACCAAGTGACTTAAAGATATTGTAGTTATCACCCTTAATCAATGTGATTGTAAACACTGTATAGAATTTGAATAATTAACTTGCTTGATTATAAAACTGTTTGCTATAACTGTCCCATGGTGCGGATTCTTCACCGACCTGTCACCATCAGTTCCCTCATATAAGTCTAATAAACCAATGTCATTCCCTGTTGGACCTCCAGATGACCTCTTTGGAATATGTAAAGAACCTTACATGCAAGCCCTCTTAGATTTGGGGTTGCCATGTTACACATCCAAACAAGGACAGAAAAGAGACAGGAGAATAAGAGAACTTTATTGGGGGCAATGAGATTGTGGTGATGGTTTCTTTGTGTTTGAGTCTTCATTATTAACAATAGTCTACAATAAAGTCATTAATACATGGATTGTCAATTTGTCACTAATACAATGATTTCTATGTCATTTTGTTCCTTGTTTCTTGTTACAGGGGGTATTTTCTGCTGCTATACTTCAAATGTAACTAGGTTCATCTGATTTATTTCTGCAACCAAACCCGTATTGTTTTAAGCCAGCATTCCAAGGGCATACCTTGATACTTGTACATACCAAGTCAGAGGGAATGCAGTTCGCTAAGACTGTGTGTGCTGTGTGTGCACTGTTAGGGTCCGGACAGGGTGAGGGTGGATGGAGAGATGGAGAGGGGAGAGAAGAGACAGCACCGCTGGAGCCAGCAAGCCAGAGGTGTGTGCTGGCAACCCCGAGATGCGAGCAATGCAAAGAATTGCAACACACAGAAGTTAAGAAAGAAGTTTATTTAAAAGTAAATTAGAGGGAGAAAGAGAAGGGAGAGAGAAAATTCACCTCCCCAAGGTGGGGGAGGGGGCCAAAGCCCGGAAGCATAGCAACAGCCATAGCTCAAAGAACACGTGGCCACACCAGAGTCTCACAAGGCAATGGCCTGGTTGCTTGTGGTTGAGTCCTTTTAACCATTCCCCTAGGTGGGGGAAGATCATTAAGGTGATTGGGTGGTGGTCTGCTCCACGTCATTACAAAGGGGCAGGCAAGCCGCAGGTGATGGACAGCAGACAGATGGATAGGTTAGTCACATGATTGCTGCCATGGTGGAGTTTATTTGTGTCACGTAGGTTACAAAGGGCTGATTAGGTTAACCCTTGGTGGGGGCATTCCCCCCGCAAGAGACTTAGATATTTGCAATTCACAAACTCAGATATTTGCAACTTACAAACTCCTTGACCAAAGGTGGTCATGTTATTACTTTTATGACTTTGGCCAGCCAAAGGGTGATCTTTTATCTTCGACCTTGACAAGGAACCTAAAAGTTTACTAGAGATTATTATGCTAAACCATGAATTGAAGGGCTGGGCTGTCCTGGTCTTGCATCTGATGGAGATTTGCCGTTGGGGTTGGGATAGGTTGCTGCTTGTCCTGCAGTAGAATGTCTGAACACTCTCTAATGGTTATGTTGAGGCAAAAAGACTAAGAATAAGCTAAGTTTCTTCTAGGTAACTTTCATGCACAATTCTCTGCGTATGTGTTAAAATATAACATGATTCGCAAGAGTTTTATTTCTGAATTTGAATTTAGGGAACAGAGTGGGCTTTTGGCCTCTTAAAATGGTTCTACTCACCCTTCAAGGTTTACAGTCAGGGTATTTGGTACCAATATACTGCAACAAGACTAGCAGAGCATTGTATAGAACCCAAGTTACAGACACATTTTGTCAATAATGACATTTTATGGTCCACATTTCCTGGCATCAGTTACCAGAGGTATCTCATAGCTTTTTATCAGTAATACCCAGTGAAAGGTACCTATAGAAACCTAGAAGAAACTTAGCTTATTCTTAGTCTTTTGGCCTCAGTGTAGTGATTAGCAAGCATTCAGATATTCTACTGAAGGACAAACAGCAGCCTATCCCATTCCCCCTAGGCAAATCTTCAGATACAGGATCAGGACAGCCCAAATGACCACCCCACCTCTTTGGTCCATGAAAGATGGTGGCACGCAGTGAGACTCAACACCCTTTAAGGCCAAGAGATTTAATGGGGGTGAGCGTGGTGGCTACAGAACCTGAGAATCAGATTGCAGCATGGAGGCAGGGGTGTGGCAGGTTTTATAGAAATTTAAAGCAACCTGTCGATTACCTGTTGGTCGGCAGGTGGGGTATTTTTGGGATTGGCAGGGGCTTTCGCGGGCGTGGGAACAGTGGGCTTTGTTGTGGAAGAAGAACCCGAAAGGCCTTGCCTGAGCCTCCATGTTAGTTTGTCCGGGTGCCTTCTTAGGCGGGAGCGCCATTTTAGGTGGGAGCGCCATTTTAGGTGGGGGCCACGCCTAGGCTTAGCCTTTGGAGGGGGCGGGTTCATCGTAGCTGGCTGGGGCCTTTCACCCAGCAGAAGCTTAGAGTAAAGGAAGTTAACAGGGCCTAAGACCCCATGTATTGTTGCATCATGCATGTTGTTATATGTAAAAGTTATACAAATCACAAGACTTATGATTACGTTGATACAAAAGTTATACAAACTTGTGACTATTAAGAAAAGGGATTAGGCTGGGCTAAGTGGCTCAGCCTGTAATCCCAGCACTTTGGGAGGCCGAGGCGAGTGGATTGCCTGAGCCCATGAGTTTGAGACCCACCTGGGCAACGTGGTGAACCCTTGTCTCTACAATAAAAAAAAAAAAAAAAAAAAATAGCCGGGCGTGGTAGCGCGCCTGTAGTTCCCACTACTCAGAAGGCTGTGGCGGAAGGATCGCCGGAGCCCAGCAGGTCGAGGCTGTGGTGGCTGGGAGCGGTCACTGCACTCCAGTCTGGGCGACAGAGTGAGACTCCAACTCAAAAAAAAAAAAGAAAGAAAAGGGAGAAAATGGGGATTTACATCTCCATTTAATTGGGCACAGTCTGCAGGGAAGTTAAGGATTCTTTGAAGTTACTTACTGAGAGTGCATAGGAGATGAGGGGAAGCTGCACCTTTTGTTAACTCTCAGGAATGAGGGTAGTGCAGGAGCACTTGAATACTTGCCAAGTTCTTCTTTAGGGGTTGTGACAATATGGATGGACAATAGCAGGTCTCTGTATCATTTTCCCACTGTCAGTTGAAGCCACGGGATTAGTTGACACAGAAATTTTAACAACACCGTTAGAGTCACAATCCCAGTGAGGTCTCCAGAATGTTAGGCCTGTTGGGGGTGTGGGTGTCTGGTGTGCAATCCGATGTCGCATGAAAGATGCAAAGAAG